TTTTACATTGCTATTTTTTAATATATTATAATTACTTCTAATAAAAATTATTCAAATTTTAATTAATCTTTATAATTTTTTTATATTTAATAAAAATAATCTAAATTAACTTTTTATATATTATAATTATTTTATTATACTTTAATTTAATAATAAATAAAGTATTACTTTACTAAAAAATCTAAAATAAAATTAATTATTTTAAAAAATATATTTTAAATATTATTACTATTAATTTATAATATTAAAACTTTAATTATATAAGCAAATTGTTCTAAATTTGATAAATATATATTTTAAATTTTATAAAAATTGAATTAGTAATTATAAAGATATTAAAATTTGAAGATTAGTAATTAAGTAAAATTTAAGAAATAATAATTTAAAAAAGTTTATTATTAGTAAATTTTTTTTATAAAATATATAATAAAAATTTTTATATTTAAAATAAATTTCAATATCTGATAACTTAATTAAATAAGATAAATTAAAATTTTATTTTGAAAAAATAATCTATTAATATTTATTTAATATACTAATCTTTTTATATCAGACTATAAATAAATATAATAATAATTAAAGAAAAAAATATAATAAAAAATAAAATTTTCTTTCTATATTAAAATTTATAATTTATTAAGAAATAATTTTTTATTTTTATATCAAAATAAAATTTATTAATTATAGATTAATAATATTTTTTTCAGATTTTTTAGAGTTTTTTTAAAAGAATTATTCTAATTATAAAGTCTATAACAAATTTAATTAGATTAGTTTATAAATTATATTATAATTTATTATATTATAATTATCTAATTATATTAAGATAAATTACATAATTACTTAAGTTATTTTAGTTATAAAAAATATTCTTAAGTAGAATTTTTATTATTTCTTGTTTTACTAAAATAATTAGATATATTATCTTTTTTTATTTATTATTTTTAATATTTGATTATTATATTTATATATTAATAAGTATTTATATATTAATAATTATTATTTATTTAAAAATATTATTTTTGTTTTATATTTTTAATAATTCATAATTATAATAAGATTTTTAAATTTTATCTTTAACTTAGTTTTTATATGAATTTTAATCAATTACTTTATAATTATTTTAATATTTTGTAATACAAAAAATTTATTAATTAAAAAATGAAACTTAATTAATTTATAATTAAAAAATTTGAAAAAATATATATTAAATTATAATTGATAAACTTTATTTTAATATAAAAATAAAAATTATTTATTAATAAAATTATAAACTTTATTATAGAAAGAAAATTTTAATTTTTACTAAATTTTATTAATAAATTTAATTGCTGATATATTATCTTGATCTTCTTTATATTTTAAATAAATAATATATTTAAATTTTTTTAAAAAATTTATTTAATTATATAAATATTTTGAATAATATTTTAAGAATTAATTCTATAAATAAATATTATAATTTATAAATTTATATTCAAATTTTTTAAAAAAAATTATTAAATTATATAAATATTTTGAATAATATTTTAAAAACTAATTTTATAAATATACATTATAATTTATAATTTATAATAATTTTTATATTAAATAAGTTATAATATTAAGTAAAAAAAAATATAATATAATATTTAATAATTTAATATTACTATAAATTAAATAATAACTATATTTAATAAGAAAAAAATTTTTCTTTATTGTTATTTTATAAAAAAGTTTAATTTTATTTAACTAAATATTTAACTTTATTTATATTTAAACCTTTCTTATTTTAATATTATTAAATTAGAAATCTTGATTTTAGTTTTTCTAATTGAATAAGAATTTTCATATTTATAAATAAGAGTTATAAAATATTTCTTCTTAATTATATTATAAATTAATAAACAAAAGTATAATTTTTAATTTTATTAATTAAATCAATTATATTTTTAGTTATAATATTAAAGTATTTTAATTATTGAAAACTAATTTATTTGATTATTTATATTAAAGAGATTATAATTAATAATGATTACTTATTTTTTATAGTAATTTGAATTATATTGAAAGAGCTAATTGAAAATTTTTTTTATAATCCAACTAAAGTTTCTTATAAAATATAATAGTTAAGTAAATTTTTATTAAAGAACAAATAGCATTATTTATAATTTTTTTTGACAAAAGAATAGTGATAAATTATTAGTTTGTAAAACATTTATTCTTTTAATATAGTAATACCAATTTTATTTATTGAGATCAATTTTTAATCAATTGAATAAGTTATTATCAAGATAAATTTTATTTAATGTTATATTCAAATTTTATTTATAAAAAATTGGACAACATCATTCTTTATCTTAAAGTCGATTTTTTTTTATAGTGACTTCATCTTGTTAAATTGATATGTACTATTAAAACATCAGTATGTCTTGCTTTATAAAATAAATAACTGCAATTTTCTTAATACACCACTGATTATATTCGTAATAGATTGGTAGAATAATGATCATTGCCGGCAAGAGATTTCTCATAACTGAGAAATATTCATACATTCATTAATATAATTACAGCCAACCGCAAAAGTATCTGATCCTTTCTAACTTTTCATAGATCATGTGCAATGCACCAAATCTTTCTGAGCACAAAGAATATTACAAATGCTGATCATGATACCTTTTATAGATTTGGTAAAGCTTCTATATCGATGTTCATGCCCAAATACAGTAAATCGGTCATATTAGGACATAATATCTTGACATCTAGTAATCCAATTTGACTGAGAAATAATACCATACAATTTGCCTAATCTAGGCAAATAGAATGGTCAAATTGGACTACTAGACTTTGAGATAAAGTGAACGATTCATATTTGTCAACCAATTTTTATTAGAAATTGATTGCCAAAAAATGAATCGGTTGATTTAGGACGTAGTATAGTGATCCGATTCTAACAAAATAATACCATTCGATTTGTCTAGACAAGGCGAATTGAATAGTATTATTTTTGTTTGAATTGGATCACTGGAGGTCAAGATATTACATCCTAAATTAACCGATTCATTTTGGTTAGTGTCAAAAAAATGAATCTGCTACTTTAAGACGCACGTCCAGTGACCCGATTTGAACAAAAATAATACTGTCTTGACTAGACGAATCAAATGGTCATATTTTTGTTCAAATCGGGTCACTGAACATCAAAAATTAGATTATTGAATATTGAGATGTGATGTGAAAATTTATGAACATACAATACCTGATATAGAAGCTCTATAAAAGGTATCATGATCAGTATTTGTAATGTTCTTTGTGCTCGGAAAAATTTGTGCATTATACATGATCTACGAAAAGTTGGGGGGGGGGGTCGGATACTTCTGAGACGCACTGTATTTCAAAGTGGGAGTTATTGGATAGCCTGACATTCTCAACGAAACTTCGTATTTAACTCAATCACTTCATAATTTTTTGCGCACAACTACACCGAAAAATTCTATTATATTACTTTAAAAAAATGCATCGAAGAAATAAATAACTCAATCATTCAAATAAACTAGAATGGAAGAATTTTCAACTTTAATTTATAATAATATAAAATTACATTGGAATCTTCAAACATAAACTTTTTAATCGCTATCGATTACACTGAGGAAATCTTGGAAAAATGGAGAATTGTCAACAGGGTTACTAATAATAGGAACAAGGGCAATTGTAAGATCTGCTTTAGTCATGAGTTGAGATCTTACAAACTGACCATCATAATTCACGTCTCCAGTACAGGTAATAGCTAATGTGCGATTTGACACAACCTTTGCGACACCAATATTTTTAACAATAGCAACTGCTTTAGGATCCCAGAGAAAATAACCACTAAAGAATGCAGGATCCCCACCAAACCATGTTGCACGTATAATAAATAAAAGTTGATACACAAATTTTCCGTAGAAGCTTTTAAGCTTTGAGAGTTTGTCAAAGAAAGAAGTGTTGAGCGGTGTTTGATCTGTAAAGTCAAGGGGTGCCAAAGTGATTTTTAGATCAGAGTTTAAAACTTCTTGAGCAGCAACACAGTCAAGGTAAATATTAAATTCGGCACGAGTATTATTTGGCACGCTAAACAAGTTTCCAGGAACATCTAAAGCTCCGGCCAGCCATACGAATCGTTCAATTTTTGTGGTGTAAGTTGGGAAGGCACGTAGAAACGTAGCGATATTGGTAGCTGGACCCGTTCCTATGATTGTGGGTTTCTTGCCAGTTTGGTTAATTGTAGAGTCGATAAGGTCAGCAAGGTTCTGGGTGATATTAAACCCTTTAACTGCGTCATACCATAATCGATTTGATAGTCTGAGTTTTCGGTTGAGCCCGTATAGCAAATCGGTATCACGTCTTCCGCCTGCACCTTCCGGGACCGATTTCTGATAAGTACAACCTGGAGTACCTAAAGTGTTAGGATTTCTGTCAGATTCGTAGAGACTATAATCAGCACCAAGTATTACAGGAATGTTCTTTCCAGAATAAATATCGTCGATGATATCAACAATATTTTGTGCCGAAGCTATAATTATTGTAATTATTTGATATGTTATTATATATCATTCATTATACGTAGAAACAGAATGTTATGCTGGCGGGTCTGAAAATGATGCATATAATATTTATACCTGCATGGGACCATCCATCCCCTTGGTAAGTAACGCCTCGTACATCAAGCTCCTTGGATTTAAGTGCGTAAAGAATCGCAAGGAAATCATCCGAGTCACCATCTGTGTCAATAATCACAGGGATTCGCGAATTTTTATCATTGTTGCCGTCAGCAATTATTGAGCTAGTGAATATACCGAGAACAGCGAATGCAAAGGGAATTATAATTTTCATTTTGTGATTTTTATTTTTTACTCTTGGAGAATGCAATTATATATATTCCTTAGACTCAAGTACAAACGTCTCAAAATTATGAGCTAGTACATGCAGTTTAATCTCCAGGGTGTGAACAATATCATCTCTTTTAAATACATATAGCTTGTAAGCGAAGATTTTTTCATAACAATAACGATAAGAAAACAATAGCATGTTTGTTTGTGAAAGACATGTCGGCGTAATGTAAATTTGGTTTTGCAAGCATATTCTTTATCCATTTTACATATACATGCACTGATATTTTCGAGCAAAATTGACCGCATAACTATTTATTTCCTTTTTTTACAAATCTATAAAATCATTGTATTCAGATCTGTGTGCTACCAAAAAGGAACATGCATAACTATTTCTTATTGTTTTTTCGTTATCGTTATGGATTCTGAATAACTGAAACACATAGGTGTACAATTCGCCGATTTTTTCCGAGTATGAGAATTTATTCATAACGTTAATTTCCTAAATTGTTTTTTGTGTTCTTTAGACTCTCTCGTTACAAATATTCTGTAATGGCAAATACATGTATCTATAAAAAACAAATTACATGTACATGTATCAATTATCGCTATTCATTATGCATACAATAAAAATAGTGTTCTTTAATTTTTACCGGAAACCCGTAGCTTTTCCGAGTTTACTTGCCCGTATGGCGAACCTGGAGTAAGAATATTAAAAAATTAATAAAAAAATAATTAATAAAACTAATAAAAATATTATTTCAAAACAACCAATATCCATAATTAATAATAATACTTAGAAAAATCCCAGCATTTTTTCTTTCTTTAATACAAGTAATTAGAACTTTAACGACTACACAAATTTTTTAAATAATAGATCCTCTGATCAACTTTATGCTAAAACATGTAATAATTTTGACACATTACATGCAGATGCTTTTAGAACATTTGTTACAGTAATCTGATCATTTGGTACAGTATTTGAACCATTTGGAATAAAAGAATAATTTTTAGTACAGTCCTTGCCCAATATCCCAAAACATAGACCGAAACATACACATCCAATTAGATGCTCTTGAATCTTAATTAAGTCAAGTTGTAATAAAGTTCAAAGTAAATTGAAACAGTATTACCTCTTGTTTGTATTATTGAACTTTGGATTTTGTCACTTTTACCAGAAGAAATCCATTATTATTTTAATTTCTCTTGTAGAATAGTCTAATTATAAAGGGACTTTATTCATCCCGTTTGTCTTAGAAACAATCTTCTTTGCTAATCATTTAATCTAAATTATTTTATAATAAATAAATACTTACCTTTGATATTAACAATATGATTATAATTTCTTGCAAAATGCCTATAAATATCAATTAAGAGACTCTTTACATTGAAAAACTTCAGTTAAATCTTTCACAAACTTATTAAATCTATTCATCTTTGAAATTCAATGAATAAGATAGGTATAATAATAATTAAAGCTTATAAATACATCATAAGCAACTATTTTCTAATATTTTTGTATGAATAAATATAAGATAAATGTTCTTTGCTATGAAATTTCAAATAATAATCATTAATTAGTCAAATTTAAAAGGATTATTTATGCCATATTCGAATTTTTATACTTGATTTGCACTTAAAAATTAAATATAATATATATAATATATATAATAGAGTTATATTAAACTAAATAATTTATAAATAAAAAAGTTTTAAAAATCTTTTATAATAACTTATATGCAAATTGATCTAAAGATATAATTTAAAGAAAGTTTTTAAATAATATAATTCAGATTCTTTCTGTTTTTAAAACTAAATTAATAAATTTATTTCTTTAATTTGTAAAAATAATAATTAAATACTTTTTATAAAATCAAAAATTAGATTTAATTTTTTATTAATAAAAAAATTAAAAATCAAAATATAACTTATTTAATATAAAAATTCTTTATTATTATAATTAAATATGATTAATTTAAAACAAAAATTTTTATTACTTATAATTAAAAATTTGAAATTAATTAAAAAGAATAATATATATAAATATTCAGAATTTTTAATTTATATATTAATTATATAATAAATAAATTAATAGAATTATTTTGAAATTTATAAATACAAAGAAACTCTTAATATAATAAAATTTAATTAAAATCATAATATAATAAACTTGATTTCAGGAATTATTTATTATAAATTATATAATAATTTCGCTTAATATAATATATAATAAAGTTTTTAAAATTTTTATATATAGATTTGACTATTTTATTATATTAAAAGTAACTTTATATATACTTTAATATAAAGAATAAAGTTACTTTTTGACAAATATCTTTATAATCTGAAATAATTATAATTACTTTTGAATCAATAACTTGATATATATATTTTCTTCAGGCATTATATTTTCAAGGTATACAAATATATATATTATATTACCTATCAAAAAAGAAAGAATCAAATTTGTTGGATAAAATAAAAACTTTTATTTAATTGAAATATCAAGTCTGTAAATATCATAAATAAAAGTTCTCAATATTCCGGATACAAAACTTCTTTTCTTTCTGAAATTCAAGCACACATAATTAAAGCTATATTCTAATCTTGAGCTAGTAAATCACATGCATTTAAAATTTAAAAATAGATGATAAAATTAAAAAAATTAACTACAATTTGAAAAAATTTCTTCAAAATTAAAAGATTCAACAATCTCAGCAGCTATGTCATGTCCATTCTCATTAGCCTTTTGATACCATTTTAAAGCCATTTCGAGACTTTTTGAAATTCCTATTCCGTAATGGTAAAACTTTCCAATATTAAATTGGGCTTTATTATTACCGGATTCCGCTGCTTTTAAATACCAATTAAATGCTTCATTATCATCTTTGTCTGTTCCTTCTCCATATTCATAGCATTGTCCAAGTCGAAAATTTGAACGAAAATTGCCATTTTTAGCGGAATTTAAAAGATAATTAAATAAAAATTTTTCTGTTTCTTTCGTAATTGAACCTCTTTCATAACTAAATCTTAAAATAAATTGGCTAAGCATATTATCAGAATGGGCACATACTAAATCAATTTCAAATGCCTTGTCTTCATCCTTTTCTACACCCATTCCAAGTTCATAACACCTGGCAAGCGCAAACTGTGCCTGAGGATATCCAGACTCTGCTGATTTTAAATACCATTCGAATGCTTTTTGTTCATTTTTAATTGTTCCTTCGCCATATTGATAACAAAAAGCAAGATTATACTGTGCTTGAGAAATCCCAGACTCTGCTGATTTTAAATACCATTCGAATGCTTTTTGTTTATTTTTAACGCCATTTTTATAACAGAGAGCAAGATTAAACTGCGCTTGAGGATCTCCAGACTTTGCTGATTTTAAATACCATTCGAATGCTTTTTGTTCATTTTTAATTGTTCCTTCGCC